GGGATATCAAGGAACCAATAAGGCTGCATTTGCAGAAAGACAGATGAGAAACAGCCAAGGACTTGTCCTATCAAATGGTAAATTCTATAAAAGTGAGGGGAAATGAAGCATATTACTAGAGAAAAAAAAACAACACTGAACTGGCAAAAAAGAACAAAAAACATAAAAGACAACATGAGACACGTGGAAATGTAGAAAATAATGAGCAGGCATAGCATATTAGTAGATATTAGCAATAAAAACAAAGTGAATGGCAGTAAATGATGACAAAATAATCTATATTATTTTGAAAACTCAAATAGCATCCCTATTGCTTACCAAACCCAGCAATCAACTACTGATAAACTAAAAAATGTGAAAGCAAACATTTCTTTTTCAAAGCCAGGAATGGTGGTATATGCCTGACACCTCAACACTGGGGAGGTAGAGTAGGAAGATGAAAGCCTAGCTCAAAATAAAAAAAATTAAAAATATAGAATAGTTAATACTTTTGTCACCCTGGGTAGGAAAGGATGTCTTTAGAAAGTCTCAAAGAAAATAATATTAAATAAAAGTTGAATAGAGCCAACTATTTTGAATAATTTCTTATCACTAAGCAATCCCATGTAGAGAGAGACTAAATCATAGATTAGAAAAACAATATTGAAACTCATGTAACATATTGAAAGTTTAGCATCAAAATTAATTTTTAAAATCTTCTGAAAATTAATCTGGGGAAAGCCAATGGGAAAAGTGATGAAATCAAAACAGATCTTTCTCAAAGGAGACATGGTCCTTAAGCAACTCAAAAGATAGGCAGCATCTATAGGCTCTGTAGTGGTGCCTCCCTTCTCATCCCTGACAGTGGCTCTTGGTATGTTTTAAAACATTTTTTTTTCTGATAAAGTTCTATTGATTGTTTTTGAAGAACTAGCCTTTAGCGTTCTTGTAATTTTTTTATATTTCATTGACTTCTGTTATTATTTTGATTTGCTTTTGTTACCTATGCCCACATTTGTATTTCAAGTTTATTCATTTTCACTATTTGGCAGCTAAATAAATATCTCACGATCTGTTCTTTAAAAAAAAAAAAATCATCATTTTTAGTTGTTACCACTGGGGAGGGAGATGCTATTGGTTGAGGCCAAGAGTGCCCCTAACCATCATATGATACACAAAGCAGATAGCTATAACAAGGGATTAGTTGGCCAGAATATCAATAGTTCTCAAAGCAGGAACCCTGACACAGACACAAAAATCCTATGAGATTTGCAAAGACAAACCAACAATCTTTACACAGGACTGAGTCATCCTGACCAAGTAAACTTCCTTACAGGCATAGAGTTCACTGGGGAAAGGCTCACCTGAACCCTTTCCTCTCACACTTCACAGATATTAATCTGGGACAAATCACAGACCAACACCTTTTAGAATACAACATGGCAAAACTTTTTGCAAATCAGGAGTCAGACTCAGGAAACAGCAATAAACTGGGGGGGGGGGGAGTATAAATTGAACTTCAGTAAAGCTATATTTTCTGTTCACAAGGAGATATAATAAAAATGAAAAGGCTGCTACAGACAGGAATGAAATATTGCAGTCTATAATTCTAACAAAGGATGGATATCCAGAATATTTAATTGACAAGGTCATTCAGAGTATTAACAAAACCACAACTAGCTCAATGTAAAATGGAGTTACCAAACATCTGCTTGTCTTCCCTGGGTTGGCAACAAGTTCCCTTTCTCTGGATGTTGCTAGGCAGCTGGGAGTGACATACAAACTCTGGCCACCTCACCCAGGGCATCAAACTACTGGGTCCTCTACAACTTGGTTATGGAGGAAGGATGGGCTGCCAACCCTTCTCAACTGTGCTTGCAGGATTCTGAACTATGTCTGGTTCCTTCCATATCTATTCCCTCAGGCCTCCCATTCCCTACCTTGACCCATGGCTTAATTTCTGTATCCATATGATGGATTACTTTATCATGGCCTTTGTGTTACTTAGTTTTTTGTCAACTTGACACAAGCTAGAATGATCTGAGAAGTGGGAATCTCAACTGAGTAGATGCCCCCATCCTATTGGACTGTAGGCAAGTGTGTGAGGCATTTTCTTGGTTGACAGTTGATGCAGAAGGGCCTAATCTACTGTGAAGAGTGCCAGCACTGGGAAGGTGGTTATGGGTATATAAGAAAGCAAACTGAGCAAGCTATGGAATAGAGCCATCAAGCAGCATTCTTCCATGGTCTCTGCTTCAGTTCCTGCCTTCAGGTTCCTGCCTTTAGTTTCTGCCTTGGCTTCCCTTGATGATGGGCTATCTAACCCATAAGGCAAATAAACCATTTCTTCCCACTTTGCTTTTGTTCATGGTATTTATCACAGAAATAGAAGCCAAACTCAGACAACCTTCAATGCTCAGTCTTTGCATTTTCATTGTAAACACAATTTTCCCTGAGGGCATAGAAGCTAGGAGCTGAAGCTGCCTTCCCTCAATTGGTAGCAATTCCAACTGCATCTTTATCCCTTTTCCCATCACTGCTCTTGGCTCTAGAAACCTCACTGAAAGCAACCTTAACCCCTCTCTCTAGGATTTAGCATGGGTACTTCCCCGGACCTGCTCAAAGAAGAGTCACCCAATTCAACTCCCAGTCAGTGAAGTCTGGACTCAGCTTCCTCTGAGTGAGCATGAAGCAAATGCTTCTGTCTTGTTAACCTCACCCAACTCCCAACTGTGGAAGTGTGGGGTTCACACTTAGCTTCATAGACAATGTCCTTAATCTCCTCCTAGTCAGGCTACGAACTTTAGCCCTGCACACTGAAGGCCAAAATGACAGCTTTTCTAAGTCCATAGACATTAGCCAACTCAGAGAAATCTACCCTACCATTTAAGGATCGGTTCAGGTTCTTCCAAGGAGCTTTTGCCCCAACATCAACTATTTCAGTTGTTCCATGTTTCTGTCCCCATGTCACATTGCAGCGGCTACATAGTTGCCTCTCTGGATGCACTGCAGCCCCCTCCCTTTGGCTCGAGGAGGTAAGACTACCAGGAATTGGGTTCAACACAGGCCTGCCACCAGCTATGACTTCAGCATCCTGGCCCTGTCAATGCCCCTCTTCTTCTGTAAATGAGAAAATGACTCCCATTCCCTTTCTGGAGTTGATTACTGCCTGGAAAGTTCTTAGCACAAGTGCCTGCCACATTGCAGAAGCTAAGGAGCAGCAGCTGCCAACGGGGATAAGAGCTAATTAAATGTTTGCTGAGCTGGGCTGAATGACAAGCTCTGGGTCTCCAGTGAGGGACTCAGTCCAGAGTGTTCAGATAGCATCTTTCCTATGAGATCCAGACCCTGTGGGTACTGGAACAAGCTTGCAGCAGAAGCTGCATAAAGGAGATGGAGAAGGCATGCCGGAGCCCACTGTGAGAGGCATGAACCTGCTGTTTCTCCATCCCTCTACCCTCTTGTGAAATGACTAGTGCTTGCCAGCTTGAGGCTCATGGAGGCCTCTTGCTTTGTTCTGCCTTGTTTTCCTGGGGAGATGTCAGCACAGATGAGGCATCAAGGAAACACTAAAGCATGGGTACTCAACCTGTGAGCCATGACCCCTTCGGGGACTGAATGACCCTTTCACCAGGGTTGCCTAAGACCTTCTGCATAGATATTTGCATCATGATTCATAACAGTAGCAGAATTATAGTTATGAAGTAGCAATGAAAATAATTTTATGGTTGGGGGTCACCACAACATGAGGAACTATATTAAAGGGTCACAGCATCAGAAAAGTTGAGAACCACTGGACTAAAGAAATGATGCACTCAAGTCCAATTAGTTTATTGGACTTACTTATAAAGAATGGGTGAAGGGTTACTTACAGAAGTGTGGGTGGCCCCAAAGCAACCATAGTTTCAAAATGCTGCACCCTAGCATAGATGATGTATTAATTACTTTTCTGTTGCTCTGATATAAAACACCATGACCAAGGCAACTTATAGACGAAAGAGTTTATCTGGGTTTATAGTTCTTAGAAGTTTAAAATTCATGGTGATATATATATATATATATATATATATATATATATATATATATATATATATATATATATATGGAATTCTAAAAGAAATGTTTAGTTTTCTTTGGATTTTCCAGTTGGAAATCAACATGGAGAAATCATAGCTATCTCCTAACTAGGCAGCAGCAGCACATTTTCATCAGCCTTAGCCTGCAGGCCTTTCCCTCCTGAACCTCCTCATTAGGGAACACAGCATGAATATCAGTGAACCATAAAGCCCGGAAAATGAGGGCTGTCCCGGAACACCTGCCACAAGAGGCATGAATGCTCAGATCCTTGCCTGTGGCTGCTCTTAACCAGAAACAAGCTGAGCCAAGCACTGTGGGTCCCTGAGGATGTGACAGTGGTGCAGAACCTTGGTTTGTACCCACAGTTTGCTCCAGCTCTGTGCAGGACCATTGGGTCACAGGAGCACCATAGCCAATACCAGTACCTAAGCTATGCTTGTTACCCATTTCCCAGAGGGCTCTGTGATGAACACTGTGAAGGGGCCCTCCTCAATCTGGAAACAATCCCTTCTATTCTTGGATACAAACATCCTTCCTCCAGATGTGGGCACAGGTGGATGGGGAAGGGGTCTTCCTTATACCACACAGCATAGAAAAGTACCCACTGACTAGCCACACTCAGTCTCAGCCCTGGTCTTGGTGCTGCTAAGACCTCAGAGAAGGTCAGGGTGCCCTGCTTCCCTGAGTGTGCGAGCACTGTGAAGGAGCTGACCTGCACTATCATCTCCGTAGTCCTTATTTCTGTGGGACCCCATTTTAAAGAAGAGGAACCAGGGATGGTAGTATACAAAGTATAGCACTTAGAGCTAGGGCCAGGAGGAGCAGGAGTTCAAGGCTATCCTTGACTACATAGCAGCCATAGAAGTCAATGTGCACTACATGAGACTATCTCAAAACAAACAAAAAGCACAACAACCAAAAAGATCTGGTATAATGGTACAAACCTTCAATCCCAGCACTGAGGAGGTAAGGCTGGGTGAAGCTAGCCTGCTCTATGTATTCAGTTCCAGTCCAGCTCATGCTACACAGTGAAATTCTGTCTTAAAAAGAAAGGAAAACAAACAAAGCATGAATTAAACTCAATTAAATGTAAAAAAAAAAAAAAAGGAAGCTGAGACTCAGGGCAGCTGGAAGAGAGGAATTCAAGCCAGACCCAAGGTCTCCAAATGTGTGCACAGCCCCTCCAAGCTAAGCTGACTTCACTGAAATAAAGCACCTTCATCCTGTCCTTCCAACCTAAGACCAGGGATGAAGCTCAGCTGTGTGTTCACCAACCAGAAGCTCTTAAGTCATCCACAACCCTGCCTGACTCTGATTTAAAAAAAAAATGCCCCCCGCTCAAAAGTCGCCTGAAAATCCCATAGGTGAGGGGCCCAGCCAGGCTCAGAGACTCAGGGGTCTTTGCTCACAAGAGCTTTGTGTCTCTCCCAAAACTTAAGGCCACCGAGGGTTGGATTAGGCAATTCTACCATTCCCTTGGCCAGGCCTAGGACCACAGGTACATTGAGATTTAACAAACACAGGAGAGTAAAAATCCAGAGGCCTGAAAGTGAGGTCAGCGCTTATCTTCTTTCCCAACTCAGATAAGAAGTAATTGCTTTTTTATCACTTGCACATAGAATTTGAAAGTAAAGAAGGAAGGTGGCTTGATATCACACCTACGCTGTGCAGCACTCAGATCCTCAAGGGCCACTTCTTCTGAGGACCCTGAGTCAAGTCTCCCAGATGTTCTAACACAATTTAATGAGAAAAACAGCCAAGGTCTGGCAAAGAAGTGTCAGCCAGTCCCGTCCAACAGGAGGGCTTCCTGCAGCAGATAGCACATGTGGAAAAGATGTTGTAAACTGTCATCAATGGTCCCAAGGTAGCCTTTACCTAAAGAGAGATGTTTGGACAAGGGGGCAGGGCCCTTCCCAGGGAAGGTAAATGCTGTTGCTTAGAAACCTGGAAATCCCCTCATTCCCGGCTCCATGGGTTACCTGGCCCACGAAAATGGAACATCTCCCACAGATGGAGCAACCGGAGTGAAGTGCCTCCTTAGATGTCAACCCTGTGGTGCACAAGGAGCCCAGAGGCCTCTCATCCCAGCTTCACAGATCATTCTCCTGCAAGATTTAGAGCCCCAGGTTCCCACCGCTTTCAAGTTTCCCTACAGTTTGGCTCGACAGCTGCTAACTCCTTCCTGTCTATGGTTCTTTGATTTCTCCTCAGCACCGATTGCACTCTTTCATACGGACTTGATTGCCCAGGCTGTGGTGTCTTCCTGAAAAAAAATTGACATTCATCATGTTTATTGACTGTTGTTGTGGGTTGAACCGTGTGCTCTCAAAAAACTTGTGTTCAAATACTAGTCCCAGCACCTCAGATTGTGACCTATGTGGGCAGATTATGTCTTAAAGACATAAACAAGTTCAAATGAGGTCTTGAGGCAGGGTGGTTCCTAAAATCTGACTAGTGTGTAAAAGTGGAATACTGGAGGCAGAAACATACAAGGAACATGACAAGCGGAGATGCCAGCAGAAGGGGCCGCTTGGTAGAGGGATTGCCTAGCACGAAGCCCTTAGTTGGATCCCTGGCATGGCAAAATCCAAGCATAGTGGCACACACCCATAATCCCAGCACTCAGAAAACAGAGGCAGGGTCATCAGAAAGTTTTGGCTTATTAAAAAGTCATTCTTGCCTATTTGATGAGCTTGAGGCCAGCCTCGGCTACACAAGACTGCCTCAAAAACAAAATGATATGAGTAGAGATGAGGTGATATTTCTACCAGACAAGGGATCCCAAGGATTACTTAGAAGCCACTAGAATCCTGACAGAGGCCTGAGGCAGGTTCCTGGATATTGGAAGGAATCAACCAACCTTGCCAATTAGCTTGACCTTGGCTATCTGGTAAGTTATAGGCACGAGTTTGTCTGTGTCTGAGAGTTTTTCTATGTCTGTCTCGGCCTCTTCACTGTTGTGGCATTCTGTCCCAGCATCTCTGAGACGTGTGCACTTGGCACCTGTGGTCATAGGTCCTTGTCGCCTTTTCTCATTTAACTATTTGACATTTCAGGAAGCCGTGGCTCACAGGAGCAAATAAATGACTGCGTCTCCTCCAGCCCCCATGTAAAGGGGTAGAAATTTAAACAAAAGAAGCTCTATCTGGAAGTCCATACTGTGACCCTTGCCCAAAGGGCCTCTTCTTGTTCTAGACTTGAAGGGGTTCCCCCCCGAAGTAACTAAAAGCAAGGCCATCTGCTAACTAGGCGGGGAAACCCCCAAGCCAAAGCATTATGAAATATTTAATATGATGGTGGGAGGCATCTTGCCAGCTGAGCCGCTGCCAGGAACTGGTCTTTGCTGATGGCAAGAGACTCATGCTACAGAAAGCTGAGCCTGGAGCTAAATTAGCTTTGAAGTTGATTAAACCTCCAGGGCTCCAGGGAGTATGAGGCTCGAGGAGGCCCCCGCAGTCCGGACACCGAACAGAACAGTTCTCAGGGACCTTTGCACCATGATGGCTTGTGGGGGTACTTGGAAGTGCTTTTCACGTCAGAATACTCAGAAACCCCATTGTAGTTAGGATTAGTGAATTTAGCAGGGAAAACAGCCCTGCCATGAATGGAATAACACATCCATGCCAGGGTCTTGTTCTGCAACAGAGAGGCTGAAATAGCTCTCTCTCTCTCTCTCTCTCTCTCTCTCTCTCTCTCTCTCTCTCTCTCTCTCTCTCTCTCTGCGTGTGCGTGTGTGTGTGTGTGTGTGTGTGTGTGTGTGTGTGTGTGTGTGTACCAGGTAAGGATTCTTAATTGCTCATGGGAGCCTCTTCAGTCATACTTTATGACAGGACAAAGGTTTCATTCAAAGCAGTCGCCTCCAGCTACTGCTCTTATTTAAAATTCAAGGTGATAGGAATAAACGCACTTGTCTTGCATTTTCTCCTCTTCTACTCACACAGGCTAAATAGTGTAGAAGTAAATCCATCCCATAACTAGAACAAAATGGCCAAACATTAAAATCTGAGAAAAATTGAAAATAAAGCAAAATAAATGTAATGGGTTTTGGTAATTTCTATTAAATGGGCAAAATTTCTAAAAGCAACATACTCTAAAAGACTGTGAATTATTTTTTCCATCAGGTGCTTATTAAATGTGTTATATGACTTAGGGATTGGGGGGACTCATTACAAACAGTGAGGCTCAATGTGGCAAGTTATGAAAAGCCAAACAAGACATCAGAAGCTGGGAAGCAAGACCACGGGACCCATGAGCAGTGAGACCAGAGAATGAGAGGTGGGCTGGAGAGATGCTCAGCAGCTAAGGGAGCTTGTAGCTCTTTCTCAGTACCCGAGTTTAATTCCCAACTCAGGCAACTCATACCTGCCTATAATTCCAAATCCAGAAGATCTGATGCCCTGTCCTGGCCTCTACAGGCCCCTACACATCTGTAGGAATATAGACACACATGCATAAATTAAAAAATAAATTAATTAATTAAAAAGAGAATGGGAGCCATTGAGCCAGAGTCAAAGGACAGTTACCCGTGAAGAACAGCAGTATTCAACAAGAAAACACTAGGCGAAAACAAATTAACACTAGCAGCAAAACGCCAGCATATCTGGAAACACCTCGAAAGTGAAATACGCACAACCTGCATTTAAAGTGTGGTAAAATCATACCAGAGAAAAATGAAAGACAAACTAAACATTGGAGGTGTGACATGTTCCTGCATGCAAAGAGGATGGAAATCCATCCTGCCCAGATAAATTTATAGGATTCCATATTTAGCCCATAATCTAAACTGTGAAGGTATGTAGGGAAGAGAACACACTGAAAGAGTCAGGGTTATTTTAAAGACGTACAGAGAGAGTAGGTGATGGCTACACCACTTATCAAAGCTTACTTCAGAGTGGTGTCAAGTAAAAGGATGTGGTCTCAGCCCAGGAAGAGATGGACAGACCAGGGAAACTTAGCAGAGAGCAATTTTCAAGAATTTAGTTTATGACCAAGAGATCTCAAGCCAAAGAGCAGAGAAGCATAGAAAGTAGTAATGTGTTTAGGAATAAGATCATGCCACAGCCTACATTTATGTATCTTTCATTTTTATTTTATGCATATGAGTGTTTTGTCTGCATGCAGGTCTGTGCACCACGTACATGCCTAGTACCTGTAGAGGGTCAAAAGAGGGAGTCAGATTCCCTGGAAATGGAATTACAGGTGCTTGTGAACTGACATGTGGGTGCTGGGAATCGAACCTGGGTCCTCTGCAAGAGCAGCTCATGCTCTTAACCACTGGGCTATCTCTCCAGGCCCTTGCATCTATATTTAAAGCCACACTCAGTGTTTCATTTTAAATATTTAAAAATACAAAAATAAAGATGTGGAAAAAGAATTTAGAATGATAGAAATGTTTGTTCATTGGCTTGTTTGCTTGTAGAACTGGAAACTGAACTCAGGGCCTTGAGAACGCTAAGCTGGTGCTCTGTCTCAGACTACACCTCAGCCCAGAAGAGCACACTGAGCTAACACCCAAGTATTACTATATGATACTGGACATCAAGAGATTATAAAAGATTAATAATTGGACTATGAAGTAATGGGTCATTTTTATATAACAAATGGCATACACGTGAAATTATAAACTGCAATAGATTGGAATAAAATATTAAAATCTAAAGCATAAAAGTAACTCTCATGAGCCTCTTAGAATAAACACCTTAGAAAAGTGAATGAGGACCTACAATATGATACTGAATGTTGAGAAGATAATGGCCAGAGCTGCTTAACAATTAGAGATCTACAAAACAGTAGAGGGACATAACAGAGTGACACTTCTGTATCAGAGGACATCAAGAGAGAAAAGGACAACCTCCAGGTTGAGGGTATCACAAATCCTGTATTTGATAGGATCATGTTGTGGTCATGGAAGGTGCGAGGTGTAAAGATCTCTCCTAACTCAACAATAAAACAGTTAGCAAGTCAACTCAGACACAGGAAGGGAAACTCGGTAGACATTTACTAACAAAAATCTACAATAATAAATGAAAACCATAGTGAA